ACCCCCCCCGCCCCCGGGTGTGTGTCTGTCCGTCTACTTATCCATCCGTCTGTCTGTCCATCCATCGATTCAGCACATCCATCTGTCCATCAGCCTGTCCATCCAACCTCCATTTATCCACCCACCCCCATCCAGCTGTCTGTCTGTCTATCCATCCTTCCATCTGTCCATCAGCCTGTCCATCCAACCTGCATTTACCCATCCACCCCCATCCAGCTGTCTGACTGTCTATCCATCCTTCCTTCCACCCAGCCATCTATTCCTCCATCCATCTCCCCACCCACCCAACACAAACATCCACCCCACTCGTCCATCCATCCACCCCGGCTCCCACCACAGCCGTGCGTGTCTGTCCATGCACACAGCCCTCCAGGCACCACCCCCTGCGCCCCCCAGTCCCGTGCTAAGGGGCAGGTGAATTCGGTCCCTGGCAGGCTCTGCCTCGGGCTGGGACTTCCTGCCCCTGGAGGAGGAGGGGGGCTGCCGTCCCGCCACAAGTCACAGCGCGCGCCCCCTCCTCACCCCAGGCATGAAGCTGCCCTCGGCCTGCTCGCCGCCCCCCGCGCCCCCGGCCGGCCTGCACCAGCTGGTGGAGTCGATCAGCGCCCTGCAGGGTGAGCGTGCCCGGCTGGCGGAGGAGATCCAGGGCCTGCGGCAGGAGCTGGATGAGCGCGAGAAGGACAAGCAGCAGCTGGCCGGCAGCTTCCACCTGCAGGCGAGGCTGGGGCTGGGGCTGGGGCAGGGGTCCTGCAGGGGGGCTGCCGCCAGCCGGGGGAGCTTGGGGGTCCAGCTCAGGGCCCCAGGCTGGAGCAGGGAACCGGGGGGTATTGGGGACTCTGGGGGTCTCCTCCCTGGGGGCCCCACACACACGGAGGGACAGAGCCTGATCACCCCTCTCTGGGCAGCAGGACGGGGACCCCCAACCCTGCAGCTCCCCTGGCACATTGGGGGTGAGGCTGGACCCTGCCCTGCCATGGGCCAGGGCACTGGATGGGGCTGATGCCCTGTCTCCTTCCTGCAGATCCAGGAGCTGAAGCAGCAGATCGAGGAGCGCGAGGACGAGCTGGCGCGGCTGCGCACGGGCATGGTGAGGACACCCCTCTGCCCGCACCCTGCACCCCAGCCTTGCTGGTGGCTCCCTGAGACCCCCCTGGGCTGGGTCTGGATGAGGCCGGAGGGTCAGCGGCACTGCCAGGGGCCTCCATCAGCGGTGATGGAGAGCCCTTGCAGGGCCCAGCCCCAGCAAAGGGGGGGCTGGGGCATGGGGCAGCCACAGGGACCCTGCACCCTCCAGCGATGCCCCCATGGCCCTGGGACAGAGGGGCAGAGACGGGGGAAGCCCCGGGCTCCCAGGAGCCACTGACCCCTGTTCCCTGCGCAGGGGGTGACGGACTCGGAGAAGCGGATCCACAACCTGACGGTGGAGAACGAGGGGCTGAAGCAGAGTCTTGGCGTCACCCAGGGGCTCCTGCAGCAGCTGGCGGCCGTGTCTGCCCAGCCCTCTGCCCTGCTGGCCAAGGTGAGCCCGGACCCTGCCCCAGGGCCGGCCCTGCCCCCGCTCTGGGGTCTCCAGCTGGCCTGGCTGGTGCTGGACCCCAAACCACTGGTCCCAACCTGGGCCCCTGGCCCCATCCTGCACCCCCAGACTCTGCCTTTTTAGGGCTGGGCTCTGGCTCCTGGCACTGTTGGAGGCTCCAGGAGACATGGCCCTGATCCTGTTCCCTGATGCAACCCAGCTGTGTGGGGTGGGCACACACAGAGCCTTGCAGGGCTGGGGGTGCTGCCCATGGACCACATGGCATGTGCCCCCCCCCACCCCATGCACAGGAGAACGAGGACCTGCGGGGCCAAGTGCAGCGCCTAGAGGCGTCGCTGCAGCAGAAGCTGGCACAGCTGGCGCAGCTGGAGGGGCAGGTGGACGCACTGCAGTGGCACAAGGAGGAGGAGGCGCGGCAGCTGGACGAGCGTCTCTGCGCACTGCAACAGGCCTTGGATGCCCAGCTCAGCCGGGCCCCCGATGTGCAGGTCAGCTGGGTGTGGGGGAGGAGGGTCATGCACACGCACACACAGGAGGCGCGGCAGCTGGACGAGCGTCTCTGCGCACTGCAACAGGCCTTGGATGCCCAGCTCAGCCGGGCCCCCAATGTGCAGGTCAGCTGGGTGTGGGGGGAGGAGGGTCATGCACACGCGCACACACGCGCACAGCCGGAGCCAGGCACACGCACAGTGAGTCTGACTCCCCAGCAGGGGTGAGGGCACAGACATGTGCCAATCCCGTTCCTGCAGCTGGGTTTCTTTTACACACCCACACACTCAGGGAGTCCCAGAGCTGTGGGTTTGGCAGGGGCCAGCGGGGTCACATCCAGTCCCAGCCCTGCCTGAGGCAGGATCAGCCCCATCCAAACCCCCCAGACAACCCGTGTCCGACCTCAGAGCTGCGTGACACAGTCGCCCCTGCCCTCGGGATACAGCGGGGCCGTGGCTGCCAACATCCTGCTACTGCTGGGGGGGTCATGGATGCCACATAGGCCGTGTCCCGGCTGCAAAGGAAGACAACCCCCCCCCAGTGTGCACCAGTCTGAGCAGGGGGAAATCCCTTCCTGCCCCAGGGCGGGGTGGGGCTGAGCCTGAGCGCGGGGGCAAGACCCTCCAGCCAGGACGCTGCGGGGTTGGTGCTACAGGAGCACTGGTCCAGCCCAGCCCCATCCATCCAGAGCCAGCGCTTCTGGGAGAGGCATAAAAACCACAGTGCACACTCTCTCTCGTGCAAGTGCACACGCATCAATTCTTCCCTGCCCTCCTTACACCCCCCCCAGCCCAGTTTCCTCCGCCAGGGGGCGGTCTCTCATGCACACGCATGTGCACACACGCACACATGGGCTCCCGCGCCCCCCAGCACACACGCTTCCCCCATCTGGGGGCAACCTGCCCTCCACCTTCCTGCCTCCAGCCCCTCACCGCCCCTCCTGGCCTCTGCAGTACGTGACCCAGACGGTGGAGGTGGAGTCTCCCAGCACGCTGCGGTCCCTGGCCGAGGCGGAGGAGCGGAACCGGGTGCTGCAGGAGCAGCTCTCCAGCCAGGGCGAGAGGTGCCAGCGGCTGACGGAGCAGCTGCAGGGCTCCGAGGAGGTGGCTGCTGGGCTGCGGCATAAGGTGAGCGGCTGGGGAGGTGGGCTTTGAACCCACAGCCAGGTCCCCACAGCCTGCAGCCCCTTGCAGAGAGCGCCATCCCCCCGCTTGGAGCCCCTTCCTCCAGAGCTGGGACTAAGACATGGCCAGATCGCCAAGGCAGACATTGGGGGCGGGTGGAGCTCCCAGCGACTATGGGCAGGGGTGCAGATGGTGTGGGGCATCCTCCCATATCGCACAACACATTTTTCTTTGGATAAAAAGCAACAAGAAGCTTTGCTACTATGCTAGGGGCCTCGGGCTGTATTCTTCACTTTAAGATCAAAGCAAAGGCACGTAAAACTTTATAGGAACGTGCACTGATTTGCTGTAGTGTACAGCGTGTGTAAAAAAAACAAAAAAAAAACAAAACCTCAAGACACTAGTCAGAGATCATCTGGAGAGGTTTTTTCATTCATCCTGGAGTCCTCGGACTCAGACATATGCCTTCTCCTGATTCATAGACCAAAATCAAGCATTCCCGAGCTCCCCTGAAAGTCGTTTCCATCCACGTTTCCATGCTGGAGTTGACATTTCCAGTTAGAGCTGCAGACATCAGCAGGGCAGCAACATAGGAGCTGCATTACTGGGGGCAGCTCGCAGGCAGCCAGGCTGCAGAAGAGAGGCTAGCGGCACTGGGGGGAACCACTGACGGCTATTAAAAAAGACAGAGGGTCAGTCACACCTGTGTAGTGAAGAGTTTAGCAGGAATCAGGGGTGATAATAAGCTGTGAAGTCAAGGGCTGCCTGAATAGAAATGCTCCTTCTGCTGCTAGGGAGTTGGTTTTCTATTTTGGGCATGGGGCAGGAGTCAGAAGGATGTGGGGGGGTGATTGCACTGCTGCCCCCCCATCCACCCCTGCCCGTGACCACGCATCCCCCCAGATTTTGGCCTATGAGCATGAGATGGCCCAGCTTCGTGAGCAGCTGCTGCGGGAGATCAGCCACCTGGAGGCCCAGAAGGAAGAGGCCGTGAAGGAGGCGTCGGAGTGCTCCGAGCAGCACCTGGACCAGCTCCGCCAGCAATTTGCAGGTACTGGGGGGCTGGTGAGGGGCCGGGGCTCTGTAGTGGGGCCGGGCCACATCTGAGGCAGCCCGTGGGCTCTCCCCGCAGGCGTGCGCCAGCGCCTGGCCGTGCTGCAGCCCCTGCTCCGCAGCATCAGGACCGACTACGGCAGCCTGCGCGGCCAAGTGCGCAGCTTCTCCGACTTCTATGAGGCCGCCCTCAAGGAGGCCAGGCAGCAGGTGAGGCCCTGGGGGGCCACGTGCCTTGGGGCGGGACAGGCTGGGGGCCAGGAGGGTGGCACCCCCCTGGCTTCTGCCCCTTATCTGAGCATCCCCACCCCCTCCAGATGTGCTCGGCCATCAGCGAGGTATCGGAGGCCAACCAGGACCTGCGGGAGAAGTACCAGCACGAGGTCTTGCTGCGCAGGAAGTACCACGACCAGCTGGTGGAGCTCAAAGGTACCCGGGGGCATCAAGGCAGGGCAGTGCATGGCAGGCAGGAAAGGGTTAAGTAGCTGACTCCGCCTTTTGAGGCAACCGGGGAGCCAATGACCGCTTGGGAGGACTTTCCGTCTTGCATTTCCTGGGCTGAGTGGCAGTGGGGGCGGGGCCGAGGCATCCTGGCTCCGCCCCAGTGCAGGTGGCATGGAGCTATGGGGGCTGGCACCCACCTCTGGTGGGAGGGGGCAGAGTGGGGGCTGCAGATGCCCCCACGTAGGGCCCCTGGGAGTGAGGGCTGCCCCGTGGTGAGGTGTGGGCCAGAGACCCCGCACCCACCCCATAGAGGGTAACGTCTCCCTGCCCCCCTATGCCCAAATCCGGGGGCAGGGCTTCCCAGGGGCCCCCACGTGTCCCGCGGCCTGGGCTGGGTGGGGAGCCCCAGCTGCACTGCACCCTCTGGGGTAGCCCTGGCCCCCGTGACGCGGTGCCTGCCCCAGGGAACATCCGGGTGCTGTGCCGCCTGAAGCCGGTGACGGAGGCCGAGCAGCAGGCCAGCGAGGCGAGCGTGGCTGTGAGCACGGAGCCCGGCAGCGAGAGCAGCGTCACGACCTCTTACAAGGGCAAGGAGCGCACCTTCGAGCTGGACAAGGTCTTCCTGCCCCAGGCCACCCAGGAGGAGGTGACGCCCGACCCCGACCCCCGCTGACCTGACCCTGGCCGGGGCAAGGGTGCTGGCCGCGGCCTCGCCGGGTGTGAGCGTGGAGCCCTGGTGCCCACCCCACAGTCCCAGCCATGGGGACCTTGCAGCAAAGGGGGGATCTGGGGGCTCTGGGCATTGCCCATCTGCCCCAGGGCTAGTGAGACCCACTGCGGACACCCGGCTCCAACCCCCCCGTACCTCCTCCTGCCTGCATCAGTGCCCAACTCTGGGCGTGGGGAGCAAGGGTACGGCCCTGGGGGCTGTGGGGTGCGTGTGCTGCATGGGGAGCCTTGGGATCAGGTTGTGCCTTGGCTGCGGGGGCAGGGCTGGGGGGCACCGGCCACAGTCTCTGGCTTCTTATAGCAGGCAAGGAAGGGGGCAGGGCCTGGGGCAGGTGGGGGCAGCCAGGCCATCTAGAACAGGGGTCCAGATACAGGGGGAACCACTGATGGCTATTAAAAAAGACAGAGGGTCATTCATACCCGTGGAGTGAAAAGTTTAGCAGGAATCAGGGGTGTGATAATAAGCCATGAAGTCAAGGGCTGCCTGAATAGAAATGCCCCTGCTGCTGCCAGGGATTTGCAGCCCTGTCCTGGAGCCGGGGCAGTCTAGAACAGGCCGAGAGCGTTTCCAAGGGGTCCCAGAGCCGGGGAGGGAG